ATTTCCCACCTTGTTCTGACTTCGGTCCCCGCAAGTGTCGAACCAGTGGGAAAGGAAACTGATGCGAACGGTGCACACTCTTATCCTCCGCCAACAGACATTGCAACTCATAACAAAGAGGCTTCAGCACGAGAGTCCGCCTTCATTGAACAATTTCTTACGACAACTACTGATCATCAAGCTCCCACTGCCAAAGACCAGGTTAGAGAGAGTACCTGGCAGCAGACTGCTCTGCAAAGGCGCGCTCTACAGAATCTCGCGCCTCAACCTAATCTTAGCTCTGCCACCGATGTCGGAACATTGCACGAAGCAACCTCAAGATTGAGCTCGCATGTGAAACCAACTTCTGCGACCGCGGAGTGCAAGGATGTGAGGGTAGACTCGGAAGTTCGGAACCACCGTGGCGAGTCCTCCACAACTCCTGAAACCACAAACCAAACCAGGAAAGATGTTCCTCAATCTACCTCACAGAAGCTCAGCCAGCTACCTAAACATGACATTGACTTTATCAACGCCGATGAAATTCGTGCAGCCATTAAAGCAAAAGCACGGAAACTTCAGAGTAATGAAGATAGAGCAGCAAAACGAAAGAGTCTGGAGGAGGCATTCCAAACAGCGAAAGAGCCTGAAAACGTTGATATCATGATCGAGGCAAAGATTGTCAACGACCAGATGATTCGCCGCCTAGAGCGGGAATTGTGTGAACCAGAGCGACACAGTCAAGCGTCAGCACCTTCCATGGAGAAGCATGCGCCGAGCGTCACAAACTCTGTCAATATTCCTGTGGAGTCGAGCATCGACCGTATAAGGAAATGGATCGAACAAGGCGGCGCTGTCTTTGCAAGCCACTTCTGGCAGGACCCCACTGAGGAAACTGACGAGAAGAAGACCAGACTGTTCTTCGACAAGACTCTAGCCCGTATCCGCAAGAGTCGTCTAGCCATGCGACAAATAATCGAAGATCTGGAGACTGATATCCCTGCTTCGGAGCCTCTTCTAAGGCGTATGAAACAAGACGAAGACTTGTTAGACGCCGCTATACAAGCGCTTCGTACGCGCTCAGGTGACAGCATAGTTCAAGGGTTATCGCCAAAGAAGATTCGCGCCATTCAAACTTTGCGCCTCAAAATCGAAGACACTGATCGCGAGCTCGAAACCGCATACATTGCACTTATAAAATCTACAAGGCCTGATCTGGTGGCTGCTGCTACTTCAGCATTCAAGAGGCGGTTGGCAGTCGCATCGCAGATAGTGCAAAAGAACGCCCATTTCACTCGTTACCTTCTTTGGGGTCTCCAGGCTCGCCTGGAGGACACGGGAGTCAATAAAGATGTCCTCTCAAATTACAAGGCGGTCGCTAATAGCCTACTGACCTTGAGGGACACGCAAATAGCCTTGGCTCGGCTGATAGATCGCGCGATGTCCGTCTATGGTGTAGAGGCACTGAAGCCCATGGATTCTATCAACTCTCTGATGGAGCATCCTGGATCAACGTCACATGAAGTGGTGTATACGTCCGCTTCACCAGCAGTGATTAGGTCGAGCCAACTCAATAAGGCCCAAATCCGTGCAGATATAGCTACTGAAGAGCGCCTTGCAAGTGAAGTGGAAGCACAGAAGATGGCTATGCAAAGGCTATCAGACGATGGGTATGCGCATGCAACACAGTCCTCTCCATTAAAATCAAAAGAAGAAAGTGATGATCTGGCACACAGGTTATTCCGTCCCTCCGGACCAGTTTCGGAAAGTCTGACCAAGGGCACGTCTGCGCACGCACTCGAAACTGAAGAGGCAGCTAAGAAGGCCTCACATGATGCCAATCTTGTTCAAGAAGTCAGAGCTGCTTATGAGGATACTTATGGCCCTATCACAGTTGGACATACGCAGTTGGCCAAGGCCGCTGAAGAAGTCAAGAATGAGACGGAGATTGGAACCAAGCAGTTCGACATGCTAAAGGATGACCCTGTTACCACATCTGCGCATGCTATATCTCCTCAATTACCAGAAACTCCAGTGGAAACTTGTGGTATAACGAATGCATTCAATGAATCTACAACGAAACCCACGGCAGGACCTTCACCAGTACAGACTAACGAAGTGGCAAAGCCACTAAGTACACCTCATACAGATTCTGCATCACCAGACCAGATAGCCATTGCTACCAACTCAAACACTTCCTGTGATCCTTTGGCCAGTGAATCATCGGATAATAATCCTGATCTTTCAAAACTACCAACACACTACACAATCCTTCTTTACAATCCACAGACAGATAGTGTCACCGTGAGCACTTCTACTAGCCCACCACCGCGCGACATCACTCCAACCATTACCCTACCTCAGGCGCTCGCGAATCTTGACGCACCTGCAAAGTTCGTTCCATACATTCCTGACGAACTCGAAATTGTTAGTGCGAACAAAGACATGCTTGTCCTTCGCAATTGGATTGCCACCCTCGACGGCGCAGCCACGCGTCCTGACAGCCTGTCGAGCGCAGCTAAAAGTGTGCGTGACGATGCTAAGAGGTCAAAACGAGACGTCAACCCCATTGACGGAACCGCCCGCCTCAGCCCGACCGGCTATGTCGGCCCTGAGGAGTCCCAAGAACAATTCGAAAAAGAGTTCGAAGAGCGGAGACAAGCAGCGGAAAAGATTACTGTCGCTCAAAGCACATCTGATGTTAATCGTCAAGCCAGCAATAGATCTCAAACAGCACCAAAGGAGGCTGGGAAAGGAGGCGCAGGTAGTGTTGTAAAGACTGCGATCTGGGCGGCGGCTACTTGCTATGTCTTTGGGGTTATCGGGGAGATTGTTTCTGGACCCTGAGGACATATTTTTATCCTTGTTTCCTAGTTTTGATTCTGACTCGAGGTGCTCTAAATTTGGCTTTGGGGCTCCGAACACACATTACGGCTTTTGCGTGGGTACTTCGAGCTGGGTGGCTTGCTTTTGTCTTGTATCATACTTCTATGTAGCACACTTCTTCGTCGATCGCACGACATTTCTTGATAGTAGATGTTTTGGCAACTTGTTGGTTCAGCGCGCTAGTCATCCTGGATAGAGGCAACTCCTTTGCAGTATTCATCGATTATATATAAATGGCTCATTTTTTCGAAAAGTGTTGCAATACAGAACGCGTAGGGGAGAAGTCTGGGCATGCCCACTTCCTCAACTCAAGTCAAATTCATTCGCAGCCATAATAACTAGAACACACCACATCTTTCTGGGCTTTCTGAAATTTATCACAGAAAGTGACCAACCGTCGCTCCCCCAATCAAACATGCCGTACGTACCCGAAGCCCCACATCGCAAGGTGGTCTGAACGTTTTGGCAAATAATCCCATGGGGTCACAAGATCTTTTTTTTAAAAGGGCCACCATAGGAGCTTACTTTTGTGAGAAGAAGGGACGTAGATATAAGATGCGAGGTTCAATGTCCTGTGTGCTCGGCGTGGTGGTCACATGATGATAGTATCTTGCCATGTTTTCTTTACATCGCCGCATGCGGTTATCCACCTCATTGATTGATTTCAGACAGAACTTTCTCATGAAATATAAATCCAAATACATCTTGTTTGAGACTCACGTGCGCTTTATGTTTTGATGCGGGTGAGAGAAGCGTGAGTAAGTATGAGAAGGAGTATTTGCGCACATCTTCGGCGCTCAGAGTCACTCATGGTGGTAATAGGAGGCCTATTGGATCGAAGCCTACATCTGCAGGAATTCACAATTCAAAAGTTTGTATAGAGAATTTTCTCGAAAATGTCCATGTTACTCGTGCATCACGATCCTTCGGCCGGTTGAGATAGCTGTATGCTGATTTGATTACGGCTTCTCATTTACTGGCTTTTGACGAGAATAATGTCATGTTATTTTTAATCAAAGCTTAATTGATCTACCGGTACCGGTAGTCGCCGACGAGCGATCGCCACCAGTGCAGGGGTGGCCTGAACAGCCATCGCAAATTAAATACTACTGCACTGATGCAAGAGTATTGTCCACCATTTCCTTGAGCGATCTAATAGAGTTTGCGCTCCTCCAACCACTCCAGTCATGGTTCACCAAGCCCCACGTTTCTTCGTAATCCTGGATCCCGCTCCTGATGTAATAGCTTCCACCCAACGCCCACACCATCCATCCCGACTGCCATTGCGGCATAAGTTTCTTCAAGCAAGTTGAGTACACGCCCGAGTACGAATTATCGGCCTGCGAAAAGCCGAACTCTGTCAAAAGCACTGGCATTCGGTTGACTGCGGTTGGCCAAGTGGCGCGGAATCCATTGTTCCAAAGACCACCTTCGATATCACCGCAGTTGGTAGCGGAATTTTGGTAGTTGTGAAGTTCAAGCACGAGCTTATCGCTGTATTTGAAGTTCTTGAGCACAAACTTCTTGCCGTCGCCGAGGTCATCGGAGGAAGGAATGGGTTGGAGCGTGGTGTCGAAGTTCAGTCCAGAGAGGAAGATCAAGATTTCGGGGTTTGCGGCATTGACAGAATTTGCGGCCTTGATCATGTTGTCATACCAGACGGACCAAGTGTAGGGGAGGGTGTTGCCGGCTTGGTCGGGTCTCCGGAGCTCATTGCGAAGGCCGAGAGACACCATATTAGGCCAGGTTTTGGACTGAATTATCTGTTAATCGTGAAGGGTATGTGGAAGGTGGAGATATGAGAGCTTACGTGTTCAGCCATATGAACAAGGCCCCTTTCCCATTTGGCAACATTAAAGTCTGTGTCACCAAACCACGTATTGCCATCGTTACCACTGCAGCACCATTTGCCTTTAGACATGTGGTTGTCAAGATGCACATAGATCTGTTGATTTGCCAGTTCTGCAGCAACGGCATCGAAGACTTGAAGTCTAGTGGTGCTGGTAGTGATTTGCGGATTGTTCTTTGTCACTTCATTCCAAACTCTGGTACCATTCGTGTTTCCTAGAGCCTTGATGAAGGCCTGTTGTACTGTCACATCTCCGCCATTGTCCCTGATGTCGTCGATCATCTCGATGGCGAATGTCAATCGTACAGCATTCATCTTCAATTCTTTGATCATGGAAACAATGGACTTGATCGACCGGTATTGGAGACCCTCGGGGATCATCACTTCTCCATGGCCAGGCCAGTTCACGCCAACATAAGTGAAGTTGGCGCCAGTGGAGTCGTGGACCCATTGCGTAGAGGTCTTGAAGGGCGCATTGGGAAAGGCGTGAATCAGTGACGTAAGACTGGCCGCACAAAAAGCTGCTAGAAGACGCATGTTGGAGGAGAGCGCAGAACTGGCTGATTGTCGTGCCGTGACTAGAGGAGACGACCAATCTTTATAAACGTGCTCAAATGCTTACCTCCAACTCAGACAGCATACCAGTTGTGGGTGCATACCGGATGCTTTTCTCATTTTGGCTTTTCCCCAACGTCCATGCCCCTCTGCATCCCATTGATGGACATTGGGAAGGTGCCAATATTATATGACAGCATTCCAAGCGTTGCCAACGGCAGTTTGCGGATACTTTCCTGCATCTAATACACTTTACTTTCCAGGGCGATGCTCTGATTGGTGTCTGGCCTCGGATGATACCCGTGCGCTAGGCGAATACTAGCCGCACTTTGTGGGGAACCTTGCTCCTCATCTAGCAAATGCCCAACTTATTGTAGTTTGGGGTTACATCGCGGCACTTGTGCGGTCACGAGTCTTCTCAACTGTCAAACTCGGCTTTGCTCCGTGGCCACCTTCGGGCGTCGGGATAATTCATTGTGTATTCCCCTCGGCGCGTCTTTTGGCGCTTCTCCCAACTTGGAATTTGTTCTTGACTCTTCCGCATACCCAATCGTGTTGTTGTACACTGACCATTGTTCACCAGATGTGCCAGATGTTGCCATGCAGACCCAATAGCTCACGTCTCTAATTGTTCGATACCCTAGCCCAGCTGTGGACTGTGAGTCCATGTTAGATTTGTTTGACCATGGTATTGCCGTTGGAAGTAGCCGCCACGTGAGCCTCAGTGGATCTTTTTCACATGCCTAAATCTGAAAGAGCTCTGTGTTCGATGTGCTGATGTTTTTAGGAATATCACCGCTTAGATCCAGCTATATTTGTCTTTTGGTACCGTGCACCCTTAAAACCATCCGTATTCAAGGCTATGAGCTCGTATTTACAACTTATGAATAGTTCACATTTTGGATCATATTTGGGTACATTCTACCCTCGTGGAACGCCGAATTTAGTGCGGTAGAAGGTACTTTAACAATGGCAGAAACTCGTATTAAACTACCATGCGTCATCGTTCACCCAAGCCAACGTCGAAATTGAAATCGATGTTAAATTCAAGAGATTCTGGTGTTGAACGTATCTTATGAAACTCTGGAAGTGAACTAAGGCGTCTTTGTTTGGGGCCAGTAAGTTGATCTAGCTAGCTAGTGCTGGCACCGGTTTTGATAGTTAGTCAAGGGCTGATGTCATGCTCGTGCTCGGTCAAATACCTAAGAGCTACCACAGACCTGACATGAACGCCACATTTCCCATGCAACAAGTTACAACCAGAAACAGGCATTTACTTATTAAAATTAATACTCCTATATGCACGGCAGATTGCCAAGTCTTAATGACTTTGCGAAATGCGCAAACAGTGTAATTGGCGTATCGTTGTGCAAAGGGCTTGAGCCATGCCTAAGCCTAGGTCTACCAAAGAACGTACCTTACGG